AAATAAGTTTTTGAGTAAGAAGGGAGAAGTAAATAAGGGAGGCATGAGTGAGAATAAAAAGTAGGGGTACCAATTTGTACTATGTTGGAAGAATTCTAACTGGCAGTTTTGCACTTTCAATATATTATGACCTATGAGAAAAATATAGGAGGATGTTAGTAGAAAATAATGTTAGAATAGATTTCACATTACTAGTCAAGTCAAGGGAGCTGCATGGATCCTCCAACAATTATTACCTAATGACTCATTATAACTCTTGAAAGATTAAGCTTTGTTCAGTTAAATGCCTCTGTAGCAGTTACATTCTGTTCAAGAAGTCTGAAGCCACACTCCAGGTCTTTTAACTGGAAAGATTTAATATAGATAATTATTTCACAGATGTTATGATCTGAATATCTCCCCTCTGGAATTCTGGTGTTGAAACTTCATGCCAATATGGTGATATTAAGAGGTGTGGCTTTTAAGAGGTGATTGTGTCATAAGGGTTCTTCTCCTCCTGAATGGGATGAAGGCCCTTGTGAAAGAGGCTTCATGAGGTGGTGCCTGTGGCTCAAAGGAGTAGGGCACCAGACCCATATGCCAGAGGTGGTGGGTTCAAACCCAGCCCTAGTCAAAAAAAAAAAAAAAACCTGCAAAAAAAAAAAAAGAGGCTTCATGCAGCATTTGGCCTGCTGGCCCTTTTGCCTTCTGCCACGTGAGGACGCAACATTTCTCCCTTCCTGAGGATGCAAGAACAATTCTCTATCTTAGAAGCAGAGAGCAGCCTTCAGCAGACAACTGAACCTCCTGGCACCTTGATCTCTCTAGTCTCTAGAACTATGAGAAAATAAATTTCTTTTCTTATACATTACCTGGTCTCATGTATTTCTGTTATAGAAGCTCAAACTGACTAAGGCAACAAAGGATAAAGGATGCCGTTGTTGAGAAACAGAGGAGAGTAGCCCAGTTGGAGACAGGCAAGGACGGGGGGTGGGGGGGCAGAGAGTCTGCCACAGCGAGCAAGGAAGTGGTGCTGTCTATCCAGTGGGAGCCAGGGCCCTGGTGCAATGTCTTGGTCAGAAGTAGGACCTTGGAGTGGATGACTTCTTTGGGGAGGCTAGAGTGACAAGGAGAAGCCCTCATGGAGACACCACAGAAAGCAGAAGGAAAGGAGCTGAAATCCGCAGCCTCCTCTTCTCCTTCTGCCTTCCAGTGACGTTCGGTAGTGGCTTGGGCTGCCACTGCAGACTGGTGGTTTATAAAACAAAATGTCTTTTTCTCCCATCTCTAGAGACTGAAGGTCCAAGATCAAGTTTCCTACTGAGTCAGTTTATGGTGAGGGTTCTCTTCCTGGCTTGCAGACAGCCACCTTTTCCATATGTTCTAACATGGCCTTGCCTTGGTGCGTGTGCAGGAGAGAGAGAGACAGAAAGACAAAGAGAGTGACAGAGAGAGACAGAGAGAGAATCTCACTTGAGCATGGTGTCTTCTCCTAAAGATATTAATCTTATCAAATCAGGGTCCCACATTTATGACCTCCTTCAACTTAATTGTTTCCTGGGAGATAAATATAACTACATTAGAGGCTAGAGCTTTAACATATACATTCGGAGGTTCACAAACATTTTTTTTTTT